ACCCATGAAATACTTAAGAGTACAATTTTTGAATTCAGTCCACTTTGTTTAATTTTTTTGAAGATGCTACAAGATTTCTTTAAATTATATATAAAGTAGAAGTTACTCTTCAGAGAACTGACATGTTTTTTATAGAATTCTTATATTTGACCAATCTGCCAGAGTGGTTAAAATTGGTGCAATTTATAAAAGGGATACTATTCAGTTAATGGAGGGACAAATAATCTTATCACAATGGTTCTCTACATGTTCCATAGTGAATGACAATTATTTTATTAACTAAAGGCCCAGTGCACAAAAACTTGTGTACTCTGGGGTAGGGGGTCCCTCAGCCCGGCCTGTGCCCTCTCACAGTCTGGGACCCCTCAGGCGTGACCACTTGCTGGCTTAGGCCTGCTCCCCGGGGATTGGGCCTAAGCTGGCAGTCAGACATCCCTCTGGCAGCCCGGGAGCCCTCGGGGGATGTCCACTTGCCAGCTGGGAGCAGACCTAAGCTGCAGTTGGACATCCTTAACATTGCTGAGGAGGCAGGAGAGGCTCCCACCACCACCGCTATGCTGGCAGCGGTCAGCCTGGCTTGTGGTTGGGCAGAGCTCTACCCTGTGAGAGCGCACTGACCACCAGAGGGCAGCTCCTGCATTGAGTGTCTGCCCCCTGGTGGTCAGTGTGTGTCATAGTGACCAGTCATTCCCAGTCGTTCTGCTGTTAGGGTCAGTTTGCATATTACCCTTTTACTATACAGGATAGAGGGCTGTTGCACGGGTGGGGGCCGGCTGGTTTGCCCTGAAGGGTGTCCTGGATCAGGGTGGGGGTCCCGCTTGGGTGCCTGGACAGCCTGGGTAAGGGGCTGTTGGCTATTTGTAGTCTGGTCACACCCCTTCAGGGTAGGGGTCCCCACTGGGGTGCCTGGCCAGCCTGGATGAGGGTCTGAGGGCCGTTTTCTGGCTGGTGGGCGACTGAAGCTCCCAGCCTCTTTTTTTTTTATTATTCTGGGATTTATTTACCTTCTCTGGCTGTCACTGGAGCTGAGAGCCAGCTCCAGCTCTGAGGCCATGGCTGGCTGAAAGCAGGTATCTGGGTTTGTTTAGCTTCTATAATTGAAACTCTGTTACCATCACTGGCGCTCTAAGCTCTGAGGCCATGGCTGGCTGAAAGCAGGACCTGGGGTTTGTTTAGCGTCTATAATTGCAACATTGTTGCATCCAGAGCTCAGAGCTGAGCCGCGACAGGCGGGGAACATTGGCTTCCTCCATCACTGGAGCAAGCAAGCCTCATGTTCGCTTCAGCTGCATGGCTTCCAGCCCCCATCTTTGTTGGTGGTTAATTTGCATATCCTGCTGATTAGCCAATGGGAAGCTTAGCGGAGGTATGGTTAATTATCATGTTTGTCTATTATTAGATAAGTCAATTTTGTATGAATGTAGATGTATTTGAATGAAACTGGAGTTATTCAATATTATTTCAAGAAGAATTAAACACATATCCAGGGTTCTGTCCTGATTGACATAAGCTGTATTCAAAAATCAAATTTCTATCTGAATATACCATATTTGTGAACATAGAATTATAGTTTATTACTACCTAGCGTGTGCATTCCTTTCATTCATTGTATCTCTAACACACACACACACACACACACACACACACACACACTCACTCACTCCTCCTTTATCCTTCAAGAGTCTTACTATCTAATGCACAATAATCTTTTCATAATGTTGTTTTCAGGGTTTGTTCTATCAGTCGTGTCATAAGTTCCTTCAGGAGCTTAAGCTAACAGGTTTTACACCAAAATTCACTTACCAGCAAATAAAGTTAAAAGAGTTCCCTGTCATGTTTTTGTAATGTATTTTAATATGCTCATTTATATGACCATTGAGTATTTGAAAGTGCTTTTATATTAAAAAATCCCATGAAAATTTCCTTACATTATTATGCAGATTCAATAAAAAGTAATGAGTGTGACCAGAAAGCTATCTTGACTTGTAACCTATTTTTTTAAAAGTCAATCTCCATCTCAAGAATGATTTAATATTTCAGCATTATACACACACACATACATACATACATACATGCACATGTATATGTGCACAATAGAGTAGAGATTATAGTGGGGGTTTTTTCCTTAGAATTTTGATTCTTGTAAGGAAAGAAGAACTAATCATCTGCATTTCTTCATATTTGTCAAAATCTGTTGCTTGCTATAATGATCCTAAAGAACTTCTTGTCCATAGATTCATTGTGGGCATAGATGGATTTTACTCATTTAATAGGTATTGTTATAACAGCCTAGTTTTCACAAATGTAATTGTGAAGTACATTTTTACAATTTGGATTAAATAATTTTTACCATTAAATTGACCCATTATGTTGAGTTTCTATGATGGCTCTGCAATAAAGGAATAAATTCAATTTTTAAAAATTAATTCTATAAATTTGTTGAGTTTGGAAATTAATTAATTGAATATAATTAACCAATTTACATGTAATATATCTCAAAATATGTTCTATATAATATACAAATAGTCCATAAAATGGAATATTTTATGAAATACTTTTTATATTTTCTACCAAATGTATTCTAAATGCAGAAGTATATTAGAGTAGATGTTCATTTCAAAAGTTATAACAAATATAGTATAAAAACTATTCTCAGGAAAATGAATGAAGATGCTTAAAGTGTTATAAAAGTAATATTTTTTATTCTTTTCTCTATAACTTTAATATACGGTAAGTCCTCACTTAATGCCATCAATAGGTTCTGTGACTTTAAGGGAAATGACCTATAACAAAGCCAATTTTATCACAGGCTAATTGATATAAACAAGAGTTAAGTTCCTATTATGGCATGTCACTATTATCGTGACATAGCATGAAAAAATATTATTCTAGGACCTACTACTACATAAGAATGTCATTCAGCTGTTACTGCCGCCGTATTTTCTCTATCTCCTTTTGTTTATTTTTAAAAATTTTATTTATTTATTTAAATTTTTATTGAATTTATTGGGGTGACATCTATATGATAAAATGCTAATATGCAAATTGACCGAATGGCGGAACAACCAGTCACTATGACGCACACTGACCACCAGGGGGTGGACACTCAATGCAGAAGCTGACCCCTGGTGTTCAGTGCGCTTCCACAGAGGGAGTGCCACTCAGCCAGAAACCCTGAGCTGGGCTCATGGCTGGTTAGCGCAGCGGCAGTGGTGGGAGCCTCACCCGCATCCAGGGCAGCACTAAGGGTGTCTGACTGCTGGCGGGGCGTGGGCCTAAGCCATCAGTCAGACATCCCCCGAGGGATCCCAGACTGCAAGAGGGTGCAGGCCAAGCTGAGGGACTCCCTCCCACCCACCCCCCGAGTGCACAAATTTCTTGCACCAGGCCTCTAGTTGGTTAATAAAATTATATAGATTTCAGGTGTATAATTCTATAGCACATCACCTGTACATTGTATTGTGTGTTCCACCACTCTGGATCAATTCTTCTTCCATCACCATTTATCCCCCATTTACCTTCTTCTGTCTCCCCCTACCTCCTTTTCCCTCTGGTAATAACCATACAGTTGTCTGTATCTATGAATATATTGTGTGTGTTTTTAATCCCTTCACCTTTCTCACCCAGCCTTCCCCCGCTCCCCCCTCCTCTCTGATAGCTGTCAGTCTGTTCTCTATAAGTCTATTTCTATTTTGTTTATTAGTTTATTTTGTTCATTAAATTTTACATATGAGTGGTACTCGTGTTTCTCAGATTGGCTTATTTCAGTTAGTATAATGCTCTCCAGCTCCATCTATGCTGTCCCAAAAGGATAAGATTTCCTTCTTTTTTTTACAGCCGAGATGTATCATTGGCAAATATGTTCTCCCATTCAGTGGGTTGTTTTTTCATTTGGTTGATATTTTTCTTTGCTGTGCAAAAACTTTTTAGTTAAATGTTAGACTTGAAACCATAAAAATCTTAGAGGAAAACACAGGCAGTAAAATCTTGGACATTTCTTATAGCAATATTTTTTCTGATATTGGGCAAAGGAAACAAAAGAAAGACAAAACAAATGGGACCTATCTCCTTTTTTTCAATTGCCTTTTTCACCCTGTCAATTCAGACCCCTACAACCTCTACCCTATGCCATTCTTTTTATTGTGCAATATACTAGTACACTTCTCCTCATTATCAGATTCACTATAAAGCAGAGCTTTAAACATTCCAGAAATATGAATCAGAACTTTTCAAAAATCTTCAATTATTCTACACTTTTTTTTATTTTATTTTTATTGTTGACACTATTATAGATTCCCCCATTTTCCCCTCCTTTTCCCACCTCCACTCAGCCTTTGCCCCCCCTTCCCTCTGGCCATCACCACTGTTGTCTGTGTCTATAGGTTATGCATATATGTTCTTTAACTAATCCCTTCTCCTTCTTTCTACACTGTTTTCTAATTGTGCAAATATCCTCAGTTTAGCATTTAAGGTATTCCAAAAGGTGGTCTCACATTACCTCTAACAGTGATTATTTCTTAACAAGTTTTAGAAAAATACACATTCTCCACCCTCGCATCCTGCACTCTGCTGCACATACTTTAAATTCCAACCATGTTAGACCATGAGCAACCTAGGGACTGACACAGTGTTTTATGCGAAAGCACATTCTCATGTGCCCCATGATACTGTCCCAAATATCCCCACCAAGTAACTTGGCCTATAGAATCTCTCCCTGAGGTCTCTCAGAATGTTTTCATTCCCTTTATCTGCCCCTTGTTGCCTATTACCTGGATAACTTGGAGAAGATAAATGTCAATTTTCAAATTTTAGTCTCTACTATTCTCCCTAAAGTAATTTTTTTTAATTCTGGTGGGAAATATTTTTTTTTTTTTTTTACTAAAAAATATGTACTCATCTTGATGAACACTGGCTTCAGTTATATTTAAATTTAATTCTGATTTGATTTCTGTCAAATCAAAAAGGTGTTTCTAAGGTGTCTTTTTATTTTTATTTTCCAGGTTTCTTGAGCACAGGAGATCAGGCTGCAAAAGGAAACTATGGACTCCTTGATCTCATACAGGCTTTAAGATGGACTAGTGAAAACATTGGATTCTTTGGTGGTGACCCCTTAAGAATCACTGTTTTTGGATCTGGCGCTGGGGGTTCGTGTGTCAATCTGCTGACTTTATCCCATTATTCTGAAGGTAACCGTTGGAGCAATTCAACCAAAGGTATTATGCAGGTTGCAAATTTTGACAATTTTGGTGTCTGCATGCCACCACCATCAGTAGTATGTGATGCTCTGTATATATTTCTCTGTTCAAACTGAGTGTCAGGTTGAACTCAATAACTGTTTAGAATTTTGTTTCTTCAGCTTTTATGCATGTTCAGATTGTTGTCAAACTTTCTGTCTCCTGTGGAGCTTGGTAAGGAAGCCCTTTCAAGCACACTTCAGAACAGTTCACATCACAGTTACTTTTCCTTTCTCCAGAGGGTGATTTTTAGGGAATTTCAAGGATGTTCACAGTTCTATTATCTCTGTTTACTCAGTAATCAAAATAAAAGACAAGGTGTGTTTTTATTTAAGGATTGTGTATAATCTACTTTTGAGACAATAGACATTTAAAACCCTTTGCTAGTAAGAAAGAAGGCCTTATAAGCTAGTGTGTCTAGAAATTAGATTTTCACTTGTTGCCTGAGTGGAGAATAGATGTTTGATTATTTTGCATGCATGATCCAAAATTGTCAAAGCATCAAGGTCACTAGTACAGCTTTCAATTAAAAAAAAAAAAATAGGTCTGAATTTGTAGTTTTTTTCTATTTTCAACCCCAAAAGTGTTCTTCCCTCCAAGAGCTTGGCAAAGCAGCATGGAGCACTGAGGCTGCTTAAACCCACGAAACATTTTTTCTTGTCTCCATTTTCTGGCCTTGATCCCCTTTTTTAAGTGCCTGCCCAAAGCTCCTTATGTTGTTGTGTGTTTTTTATTGACTCCCATCTCACCGTGAGTTTAGTCATTCATTCAACTTACATCATTAACTTGTATCCTCAAGAACAGAAAGTGTTTTATTGGAGAAGTTTGCAAAAACAAATAGTTTCTTTCCATTTCACACACATAAGAGATGGAAAGATAGAAAATAGACATCAACATAGGCCATCTTATATTTTGTACTTTCATCATTTTATATATATATAAAATATACATTGTCAAGTGTTCATAAAACATCTTAATTTGTAAGTCTGAGTTTTATCATATAAGCACCAAATATAGGATATTTGTTTTTGGTATCAAAGATACATTTATGTGGAATTTTGAAAAATCAACAAGTAATTAAATGAGTATATGTATTTGTAGAATCATATGTTACTTATTATTATTATTATTGTTATTATTATTATTTTATCATATATTATTATGGACCTAACTTATAGACATCATTTCTGTAACATCTCATATGTAGTAGCAGAGTTCTGACTCGAGATGACAAAATGGCACATATGAGAACATTTCCAATTGTATAGAGATTTGGTCGGTAATGAAATGGCTTATTATGAAATAACAGAGTTGTTTTTTTTTAAAAAAGAACAGATTATATAGTTCTAGCTAGGGACTATAGTAAGCCAATATTTTATCTAGGTTGACAGTGGTTAATTCTGTTTAGATCTTAGGGTCATTTGATTGCAAATGTTCTTTCCTCCCAGGTTTTCTAAAACTTTTTGTAAATGTAAAGCAAACATGGGCACCCAAACCAGTTCCAGCTAGTATAAAACTAACATTCCATATAAAAAGATGAATCAATTAGCTCATTGGCTAGCATCGCTAATTATCAATGGATGATGTGGTAAACAATGGCAAATGGCAAACAGTCAACAATACAGCATTCCATCAGCCTCAATACAGTCAACAATACAGCATTCCATCAGACTCTTCAAGGAAATCTGTTCATACCTGGCCACACAAGTGGACTTATGTTTGATCTAGTCCTAAGCCTATCTCCACAAAGCTGCCTGATTGGGAGATGTCTGGAAATCATCGGGCTAATTCTCTCTCCAGTACAGACAGACTTTAAAGTCTGTAAACTCCCCAGAGCTGTAGCAATGCTTAGGCCTATATCAACCAGAAGTCAACCACAGCTTGTGTACACACAACAAGCACTCTCACTAATGATAAACTACATGGTTTTCCCAATACCATCCAGGTGGCATCTTTCAGATTATATTTAATGATAGGTATTTTCTGCAAAATCATTTTTGGTATATATAGTTAATGTCATTAAGCCCCTTAAAGGGGAAAAATATTACAGAAATCACAAGGTTTATTTAGTTGTCAAGTTTTTAATTAGTAAAATATTTCTCTGAGCTAATGTTGACACATAGCCTATATAATTTTTTGAAATTATCTGTATTTATATCATTTACTCTGGCATAGTTTGCTCTAGCAAACTAAAAATATATTCTTAAAGATGTCAGAAACCAAAACAAATTTAAATTAGTATTGTTTTTAGAATTATCTAGGAACGTATTATAGACTACATTTTGAATACGTATATGCATTTGGAGAAAAATCTAAAATTCTGTTTCTAATTCAGAAACTGTTTTAGCACCTTTGTGAAAACTGTTCTTATCTCGTTAACACATATGAATAACTGAGCATGTGTTTAAATAACCAGTCGACAAAGCTGCATTTGGAAAATGGTAACAAATGTACTTTTTAAAAAGAAAATAGATAAATTTAACACAAGGATTTTATTTGAAAATATCTTAATGGGTAGATAAAGTGCATTTGCAAATTTGAATGGCATGCAGTTCTAATCAAACTGTATATGGGACTGTGATTTGTAATTTTTAAATGCAATTAAGTGAAAAGCAGCGGGCCATGTACTTTGCATTTTTTATGATAAAACATAGCAGCGCACATTCAAAACTGAAAGAAGTTAAATCACACCCCACAAAATCCTCTGCTGATGTTTTTTTCTTTAACCTAGTGAAAATGTTATGTTTGAAAGATGAATATTCAGCATACTATGTCTGACACAAAAAAGCTGGGAAGAGTATGTCTACAGTGATATTCTGTTTTGTGTGCCTCAGGGCTATCCCCAGGGTATTAGCAAATCCCCAGCCCCAAGGTGAGCTCTGAACAATTCTTTTTCAAATAAAATCTGATTAAAACAAGCATTGGAGCCATTTTGAAGGAAGACATATGCAGCCAAACTGGAGGAAATATCCTCAAAAGACAACAGAGAGCCTGATGAAGAGACAGTAGGGAGAGAGCTGGTTCCATCTGGTTGGCTTTGATAATAACATAGGTGTTTCCATGATGAGCACAGACAAATGTGGGCCTTTTTACCACTCGTAGTTACATGTTCTCCTCCTCTCCTCTTTGAGACAGACACAATTTAAACTTCTCGATCCCTAAAGTGATTGTTAACTCAAAGCAGAAGACGTAGTCCTCCTCTCTAATTCATTATACCCTGGGGATGCCCTTATGTGCCTTCTCTTAAGCAAAAATGTCTTTATCTTTCGTGCTTGAGTTGTATCTGGGTTTTTAGATACACGTCTGAAATATCTAATGTTATTGTTTTACCACAGCATTACTCAAAGGTCATCTATTATTCTTTGTTGTTTTTCCCATAGGACTTTTTCAACGAGCAATAGCTCAAAGTGGAACAGCCCTTTCCAGCTGGGCGGTTAGTTTCCAACCTGCAAAATATGCTAGAATGTTGGCCACAAAAGTTGGCTGCAATGTTTCAGATACAGTAGAATTGGTGGAATGCCTACAGAAGAAGCCTTACAAAGAACTTGTTGACCAAGATATTCAACCAGCACGATACCACATAGCCTTTGGACCTGTGATTGATGGCGATGTAATACCAGATGACCCTCAGATATTGATGGAGCAAGGAGAATTTCTCAACTATGATATAATGTTAGGAGTTAACCAAGGAGAGGGATTAAAATTTGTTGAAAATATAGTAGATAGTGATGATGGTATATCAGCTAGTGATTTTGACTTTGCTGTTTCCAATTTTGTTGATAATTTATATGGATATCCGGAAGGCAAAGATGTTCTGAGAGAAACCATTAAATTCATGTATACTGACTGGGCTGACCGTCATAACCCTGAAACCAGAAGGAAGACATTACTGGCCTTGTTTACGGACCATCAGTGGGTGGCACCAGCTGTTGCTACAGCAGATCTTCACTCAAACTTTGGTTCACCTACATATTTCTATGCCTTTTACCATCATTGCCAAACAGATCAGGTTCCTGCGTGGGCTGATGCAGCTCATGGAGATGAGGTTCCCTATGTACTAGGAATCCCCATGATTGGACCTACAGAGTTATTTCCTTGTAATTTCTCCAAAAATGACGTGATGCTGAGTGCAGTTGTAATGACATACTGGACAAATTTTGCTAAAACTGGGTACGTACCTAAGGAATAAAGTTTTCTATAATGTAATAAAAATATCCCTTTAAGCATTTAAAAATAATATACATTTTGTGCCTGAATAATTTAATAGATTAATAACAGCAGAATATTCTTCCTTTTTTTTCTTCAAAATTCTATACTGTGGTGCTTCAAAAATTAGTGCTTTATTAGTTCTTACCTTTTAGAAGTTTATTAAATAAGCTTACATATATATTGTACTACTCAATAGTTAAATTTATTTTGATGTTTTACTTGAGTAAGACATTATTATTACTCAATAGTGACAAATATTATTTTATAGTGCTCTCCAATTTGCAATACTATATGATTTCGATTCTGCCAACTACATTGTTAGGTGGGCATGGCAAGTAAGATTAATCCCATTTTATAGAGAAGGGCGATGAGGCTATCAGAGCCTCTTCTAGATATTAATTATGTCTACTATGTCGCAGTACTAGGACTCAAATCCTCACCTGCCAATTCCAAATCTTATCTTCTCCACTACTCCATGCTGTCTCTGTTAGTTTGCCTATCAGACAATGAATAGGTACATGCATTTAAAAATCTTTGGGTAGATAGTAGCCCATTTGTAAAAGAATGTGAGGCTTACTCAAATTACATTATCATCCATCAAGCAATCTGCCTGCAATGGGATTTATACTTCTAAACACTCAAAAGACTGGCTGAACTACCTCTTCAATTTGATGTCAACCTAGTACTATTTCTATTAAGAAAATGAATAAAATAATTTTGTTCTCATAATTGCTTTTTTCTTTCTTAGTGATCCAAATCAACCAGTTCCTCAAGACACAAAATTCATCCATACCAAACCCAACCGCTTTGAAGAAGTAGCATGGACCAGATATTCCCAGAAAGATCAACTTTATCTCCATATTGGATTAAAACCAAGAGTTAAAGAACATTATAGAGCCAATAAGGTGAACCTCTGGTTGGAGCTGGTACCTCATCTGCATAATCTCAATGACATTTCTCAGTATACCTCTACAACAACTAAAGTGCCATCAACGGACATCACTTTCAGACCTACGAGAAAAAATTCTGTACCTGTCACGTCAGCCTTTCCCACTGCCAAGCAGGATGATCCCAAACAACAACCAAGTCCATTTTCAGTGGATCAGAGGGACTACTCCACAGAGCTGAGCGTTACGATAGCAGTTGGAGCATCACTGCTGTTTCTGAACATCTTGGCATTTGCAGCCCTGTACTACAAAAAGGATAAGAGGAGACACGATGTTCATAGGAGATGCAGCCCTCAGCGTACGACCACCAACGATCTGACCCATGCACAAGAAGAGGAGATCATGTCCCTCCAAATGAAGCACACTGATTTGGATCATGAATGTGAGTCCATCCATCCACATGAGGTGGTTCTTCGGACCGCCTGCCCCCCAGATTACACATTAGCGATGAGGAGGTCACCTGATGATGTTCCCTTAATGACACCCAACACGATCACAATGATTCCCAACACTATACCAGGGATTCAACCCTTACACACATTCAATACATTTACCGGAGGACAGAACAATACGCTGCCCCATCCCCATCCGCACCCCCATTCACATTCAACAACCAGGGTATAGCCAGATAACAGAAACAAACTCTATTTTTTTGATGGATTGCAGTAAAAGATTACTGAAGATTCCTTGGCTTTCAACCTACAAAACTCTTACTATTTAAATAAGGAGGAATATTATGTGAATATACATATCAAGGACTTTGGGGGTTTTGAAAAAAATGAATTGTATATATATATATATATATATATACACACAAATCAACTCTAAAAATGAATTTCAATTGCTTGAAGCAATTGTTCTGAATGATACTTTTTCATTCACATTCAAGAATTAATTTTTTGAAGATTTATGTTACATAATGGAATTAGGCATGTGGAACACCAAACAGGAAAGAACTATGTCTGAAATATAAAACAAATAAAAATAAAAAAACAACCATGAATATGCACAAGGGACACACCAATGGAATGTCAGATAATTTTCACCAGTTTTTATTTGGAACCGTTTTATTGTGTAGACCATATTTACATATTTGGATAAGTACACAAAACACCAATGCTGTTAATGGCCTTAGCGGAGGCTCATGCTGAAATTTGCCAGTAAAACAGAGAAGTTTAAAGACTGGCAGGTACATTATCACATAAGTGCTGTCAGTATAAAGTTGTGGGGATACAGGAAACTGGATATTTTTAGCACGATGTGCATGATAATCTATATGCTTGGTGGCTGTGCTGCTGATTAAGCCGTAATTAAAATTCTTCTCATCCCATTGGAGTCTTTAATAGGAGCTTCCTCCATCAATTGGCAGAACCGAAAGAAGATTTTAAGGGGCAAAAGTAATTACAATTAAATAATTCACAGTAGTTTTGATAATAGAAAGAATTAGTTCTTAAAGGTATTTGAAGAAACTATAGGTATAGTGATGAATACTCGCTGATATTAATTCCAAGAACAAACAATTTCCTGTGTTCTTAATGTTCTTTTCATTCCCATCTAAATTATTTATAAAAATGTAATCCTAATTGGACATGTGTTATAGAATCCATAATTTGCTGTGGTTTTTGTTACTCTGTATTTTGTTTCCTCTGGTAAGATGAAGTGTGTCCAAAGAGTTACTTGCAGCAGTCTTTTATGAAATGAGGATGCCCCAAATTACCACTCTGGTTATAGCTCTCAGTTAATTGATTTACTCATGTTGCATGACAAAATGTTTACTAATAATAATTCAATATAAAATTATGTCCCTCCTCACACCACTTATCTTTCTTACTGAGGTCATGTCACTGGAATTTACTTGTGCAATCTCAGTAGAGTACAACGTAGATGCAGAACCTAAGAGAGACAACATCTGGGGGATTTTAGTCTTACACTTACGTGTGATTTTCAATGAATATTCTAAGACCACAGGAAACTCTTCATCCCCTGTTGTTTACCGGTAACAGTATATCACAGACCTATCCAAATGTTTGTATATGTAATCAGATGTACATTTATATTAAAAAATGAGATGGACTTAAAGAGCACATCCTGATAAATACTTTCTCTCTTACCTGTACTATATTTCTATTAGACTAAAGTTATGTGATTTTTTTTTACATTTTTTCAGATGACTAGCAATTTTGATAGTTTGTAAGATAATGCAAAGAACTTTCTCTGACAAACTAACTGCAGTAACAGAAACCTTTCTTTTCAGTTACTCTTTTTCAAGAATGAAAGCTTATTATACAAAAAAATTGTATACTACTTGATGGAAAAAAAACTTTGTACATCTTGGCCATGTCATTGGTCATTGCGTGAAATAAAGATAAACTGGATAATGACTATTAGTCCAATGATAAGAGACATGATCTTTGCTCATTAAAGAGCTAAAATGTTTATTGCTGTTTTGTCTTTTTTTTAAAAAAAAAAATAGAAAAGAAACATGACTGTCTCAGAGTCATTTTTCTAGACCAATCGAATTTTTGAAGACATTTAGGTAACTTCTTCAGAAAACACGCCATGGATTTCCAGGCAAGTCTCATCTAAGATGAAACTGATGAAACTTTAACATGAATTTATAAGCCCAGGAACATATCAGCTTTGTATTTTTAAATACCTCTTATGGGAAATAAAATGTGCCAATTGTTTTCAATTAAAATCCCAGGTTCCAATTCTGATCATTGAGGAAAAGGTCTCTTGGAAATAAATGGGTGACATTTCGTGGAATAAGAATAGCTAGATTCATTTTTAAGGGTGATTGAATTATCATAACGTAATGGATAGAAAGTTATCCTTCTAAGAGAATTTAAAAGTGCTGAGCAAGATATTAAGTGGACACTAATAGATAAAATCTTCTATTTCAAGGAATTTCTTTGCTTATAACTCCTTCTAATTGTTAACTGTCAGTAAATTTTAAATATTGATCCATAACTTGAAATAAAAATCTAAGTTAGAAAAAAAAATTCTTCAAAATCCAGAATGATCTACCTGCATCTTTTGCCTCGGATGGTTATACTTTTAGATTGTGAATTGCCAATGTAAACCAGTAAAAACAATTATTTAGCATTTTCAATACTGTTTAATCAGAAAACTATCTTTTACTATATTGATTAAACAAAAGATAAAAACAGAAATAGAAATGATAGCAAAATAAGGTGTGAATGGAATCTTTCAGATGCATTATTTCACCTGGCAAAACAAAACATTCTATTTTAATGATGGCCATATTTATATCCATCTGCCTATCTGTTGCTCTAAATTTATGTGTCAATCAATCTACCTATCTGTACCATAACTGACATCTATTTTGTATTAATTTGGGAAAATGGTTAAGGACACAAACCATAGCCCTATTCTTTTTTCTAAATTAATGTGGTAACAACTTTGTGGAAGATAAAGCAGTTCCAGGTTGTATAACTATTCCCAAGCCGTGATAAAGTCATTGTGAAGGAGTGTTAGCTCCTAGTTTTATAGTTACAGCAGCTAGTTTTCTGAGTGCAAAATAATGTCCCAGAATAAACAGAACATTAAGCACTGTTTTTAAAGCTGAAACATAATTTTTAAATGTGAGAAGTATTTTGGATATTGTTATTAATTTTTAACCAATATGTATAAAATGTGTTTATTTAGATGATAGTTTTCTTTAGGAAAAAAATGTAAGTCACAAAATTAAAAGAACATATTTGGCATTACTTATTAATTTAGATTTCCCTGCTTCAGATTAAATTGCAAAGTCAAGGCTGCTAATATTTATACAAACATTATCAACAGATTAGTGCTGTTTCAGAGTATGAGAGTGGAAATAAAAGGGACACATTTCATAGTTTAAATTTCTATTTAATATGTTGACTAAACAAGATCTAGTTGAGTACTACAAATGTATCAGGAGGTTCATCATTAACTTCATGGAAATTATAGTCATTTGCTTAAGCATTAAATGTATCTAATTTTAATTTGGAGAGATCATGCTAGCAGCTCAACATAAAAAAATCTGAGTAATGTATGGAGTATTTCATTCATGTCAAATTTAAACGTTGGTTATAATGATGCTATAAATTAGATTTTTTTTTGATCTGTACAGCATGTAAACAGGAAGAATTAAAAAATATGTAATATTAAACAGGAAACCAGAATGGTACTGATTTTCTTTTTTTTTTTAAATGCCAAAACTCATTCGCTGTATCTGTAACAAATCCTTCCTTCTCAGTTATTTCACCTGTTGACATTCTTTTACTGACATACATATTAATATATTGAAAGGATACAAAGAATGTGGTTAAATGTGTTCCAGTTTTAAAGACACTACTACATAGAAATCACTGGGATTCTTTTGTTTAGCAAGTTTCACAGAAATATTTCACAGGACAAAATGATGAATGGGATTTTCAGGAAGCTGTCAAACATCATTGCAGTTCTTTGGTGATTGTTTTCTTCTGTTTGATTGGTTCAAAAGACTGGCCTTTTCCTTCAAGTCTAGTAATTAGTTGTTATATACTATCACTTCTTAATGTGAGTGAAAATTAGGTAATTTGGTTATACTTGTGAAAACATGCTCCCAAATAAACCCAATTAATGGGCATTTCCCCGCTGAGATTTTGTTATTATTCATTTAATTATCTTGTCAAGCTTTACTGTTAACAATTGTTTTGGCTCTTTAGTCAATAAAGTAAGGGAATTCCTCCAACAGCCTTATACCTCTCCTGCACTTGATACAACAACATACACTGCAATTTTCCATCAGAAGTTCCTCAAGAAATTTCCTACTGACGTGAAAAATTTGGTAGACAACTTGATTCTTTTTCATAAGCATTCTGATTTGATTTGACTTGATGTGAGCACTTTTCTGTATTTGTTTTCAGGCCAGAAATCAATTCCATTTGATAAGGGTTGTGGATTATACAAATTGAAATAACCATGTGCAGGGCATAAGTGCCTTTTTTCCTGGTATTTTATTTATAAACCTTATTGTCTTCCTTTTTAAAAAAAAAAAAAATTTACAGAGCTTGATACAACAGGATGACCATGTTATAAGTTTTCAAAAAGAAAATTTTATTTAGGAGGGTCTTTTCTTGAATTTAATTATATTTTTGTATGATATCAAATGTTGCCAAATGACCTCTGGAAAAAAGCAAAGTGAATTTTTGGAAAGCAAGTTATTTGCGCACCTGATTTAATGATTCATAAGTGTGGAAACTTAAATCTCTAACAAACTTTAACATTCTCCCAAATACTTGCTAAGTTTCATTTAAAAGAAGGTTAAAGTTGTTAGGGACAAACATAAATTAGATAGATACATAATTTTTTGTCTAGCCAATCATAATGTATTCCATACTAAATGCTTACAGGATATTTATGGACCTTTCAAATTCATATATTTACAAATGACTTTGTATACCTTCTTCTTTTTTTTTTTTGACTTTGTATACCTTCTTACATATGTACTAATGTCGTAGAACTTAGTCCTCTATGGAAAGTCAAACCAAAATGCAAGTAGTTTTGTGTGTAAATGAATGATAATTAAAGCTTTAAAGAAAATTGTCAAGTCACAGGAACAAAAAATCAGCAGATAAAGTTAAAGCAAAGGGACTATTTTTGAATGCCGTGTCCAGGGTGATACCTATTTTGGATGGTGTATTTAAAAAGATTTAGTATTTTTAATTTGTCCTTTGCACTCATATCATTTAGCAAATTAATGGGACATATGTCATGTTTTTTGTAAAAGAGGCCATTGGGTTGTCATGATTCCGTTTGTGTTTGGACATCCATGGCTTTTACTAAAAACACGTTTATTATCATAAATAAATATTACTGTGTTTTCCAAGTTGTGCTGACTATTTTTAAACTCAGAAATAATTTCTTTTCTGTTTGACACACAGAAAAACATTTCCAAGATAAATGTTCTCTTGCAACTTCTTTGAATTGCCCACACATGTGCTGACAGTTCTGATTTGATGGGAACAATATTTTATGGTCTGTTCACCTCTTGGTGAATGCAGGGAGAGAAGTTGAAGAATAAAGTTTGGGATCTGTCTTACAATTGTTACACAGCTTGTCAGAAAAGCAAGAGGACAACATAAGGTGAAAAAAAAAAAAAGTAGGATTAAGGAAATGAGAGGAAAAAAAGAAAAAATCTGTTTTAATTTAATGACTTTCTACTTTCAAATAGAAAGTAGATATGTAATAGATATGTATGACTGGATATTAAAAAAGAGAACAAAGACATTTAAATAAACCCCTTTAAACCATAATCTATTGTCCTTAAAAAACAAAATTAATAACATTTAGAAAGAAACAAGAAATTTAATCCATGATCCAAGTCTTGGTTAAACTGCGTCACTGGAAACAAACAAAAGAACAAAATTCTAGAGGGATATATTTCTAGCCTTGTACTATCTACTTAATACTGATCTTGGTAGAGAAGACTAAATGAAGTATTGGCATCTCTTATCTGAATATAGCCCAAGATAAGAATATAGCAAACAAATAGGACATGAGAGAATTTTCTTATACATGGCCTAATGATCAATATTTCCAAATCACTAAGTAAAATAATTGGCATTGCTTTGCAGGTCTCTGTGGCTGCATATGGCCATCAATATCAAATAAATAATTCAAAAACACATTCCGAGAATGTCCCTTCCCATAAAAGAGTTTTGATGTTTTGTAGAATTTGATGATTACATTTTATATGATTTCATTTTCATTACATTTTTATATTTCCTTACAGATTACAGAATGTTATTCCTGAGTTCAAAAAAGAAAAAGAAAAAGAAATCCCAATCTAGTCTGTAAATGTTCAGATGAAAGCAGCATTTCCAATGGAGTGCTATAATTTGATACACTTCTTACTGCCCGTCATGGAGAGTTGACTTTGAATATCCCCTTAAAAGCTTTCTAGCTGTTTCTTGAAAATATTTCACTCTCAGAGATGACTTCTTCTGCACTAGAGGAAATATTCCTATCAATTATTGCAGCTTCAATTTTCATGCCCTCTCCCATTATTATTTACTAGGGGCTCAGTGCACGAAATTTGTGCACTGGTAGGATCCCTAGAGGCTGCGACTGCCGACCGGGTTCTCCCTCCCTTCCCCCAGCTGGCCCTGCCCCCTGGTCAAACTCCTGGACAACTCCCGGTTGAGGGGACAATTTACATACTACGCTTTTATTATATAGGACGCTTTCTTCTCTAAAGGTGTGGAAAGTGTGGGGAAAGGCTTAAGATGATGTAAATAAATGGTACTTCAGGCTGTTTAGAAGCTAGCAGTCAAGCAATGAGAGGAATTAGCCATTCACTCAACAAATGGTGCTGGCCATTGCCAAATAGCATGTTGTTAGACAACAGGACAAATCTCTGCCTTACCTATGAACATACAAGTATTGCCAAGCACAGAATAACTATAAACACAAACTATTCAGACTATCTTTTGTGCTATCCACTGTACCAGATCATTACACAATACCTTGTTTTATCTATATGGGTGGGAATAAGTAGGTTTAC